ATGATAGTGCCTATTACCCTTCATCTAGTGTTTTGAAATTTTTAGATCTCTTTCAACTACATTTATCGAGTGCCTTCTGTGTGCTTTAGACACTGCACTAGGCTCAGGGATTTGAAATGCAGTCAGTGTAGCTAGATTTGTTGGTAAATTACTGCTCCTTGGGGACTAAGAGCCTTTTACCCTTTCAGAAAAGGAAGCTGCAAGCTGGTGAGGTATTTAGTTTCAATTTAGCTTAATGGAAACCTGTTAGTGAGTTTTAAAATAAGGACCAAGACAATTGAAATGGAAAGTGAGGCCTTCTGGGCCCCAGGAAGGAAAATACAGGGTCTGTGGGTTTGCATGCTTCAAAGACCTCTCTTTCCAGGAACAAACATGTTTCAGTACTGAACCTGGTGGAGATGTGAGCTGCTGAAGGCTCTAGTCTTCGCTAGGGCAGGTGCTTCCTAGTTAAGCAAAGAGCCACACAGATTCTTGTTGGCTGAGGGCAGAGCAGGATCTATAAATGGGAATATAGTGCTTCCAGTTATCATTAACAGGGCACAAACTCTGGCCAGGCACCACACTATGGTTTATGTGTATTCATTTAATCCTCACAACAAGCCTATGATTACCTGAAAGGATATTGCTATGATGCCCATTTTAAAGATAAGGATGCTGAGATTCAGAGAAGACAAGTAACTTGCCTACAGTCATTGAATTAGCAGGTAGCAGAGTGGGGACTCAAACCCGGGAATGGTTAACTTTAAAGCCCATATTTGGGCTCCATGGGTACATCTGATCAAATAATTTTTAAAAAAATATTTTATCTTCATGATAGGGTACAGCTTAAGAATTTTTGATCTACTTACCCCTAAAATATGCTGAGACAAATGGGTTGCTAACACTGTTCAGCGGGTTATGTACCAAGACAGGTCTAGGTGCAGGTAAATGCCCAGCAGGTGGCAGCAATAATCACCTGTTACACTGACCAGAATTTTATTTTCAAAGCACCCTCCCATGGAAATGGGAGAAGAAGAGTAGGATATAAGGTGGATGCAATGTTAGGGAGCTTGGGATTCATCTCATGGCTGATGAGGAGCTGTTGGGAGGCTTTAAATCAGAAGAATGATATGATCAGACTTATGTTTTAGGAAGATCACTTACAGTGATTAAGAGTTTGAGTTCAAATTCTGGTGACCTCTGGGTCAGTTGCTTGATCCCTCTATACCTCAATGTAGAACAGGTATAATTCCTTTGCAAAATAGGAATAATGTTATCTCTATCATTGTGGAGGTTAAATGTGATCATGTACATAAGTTGTTTAGTAAGTGACTGGCCCATAGTAAGTACTCAATAACTAAAAATGATAATGATATAATTATTAGAGTGGAGAGAAACTGTAATCAGGGAAATCAAATGTAGTTAGGCAAGAGATAATAAGGACCTGAATTAAGGGAGTTATAAATGGAGAGGAGAGTTATGAAAGATATTAAAGAGATAGAATTGTTTGACTTTGAAATACAATGCCAATGGCAGGTGAGGAAAAGGCAAATGTCTTTGATGGCTCCCACTTTCCAACCGGGTGACTGAATGGATGGTAGTGCAGTTGAGTGAAATAGGAAATACTAGAGGAAATGGAAATTGGGGTGGAAAAAGAACACAATGAGGTCAGTTTTTAAGATAACTGAGTCTGACTTCTAAATAAAAGTCAGTCAGTCATAGGAATGGAAAGTACAGCACAGGGAATATAATCAGTAACATTATAATATCTTTGTATGGTGACAGAAGATAACTACCCCTATTGTAATGAGCATTTTGTAATGTATGTAAAAGTTGGATCATTATGTTGTACACCTGAAACCAATATAATATTATATATAAGTATACTTCAATTTTAAACTTTTAATAAATAAATTTTTAAAAGTACATTGAGTTTGAGTACTCTGTCATCAATTTGAGCATGAGGTTTTGGGAAGTCTAAGCTATAGAAATAGATTTGAGCTTCATCATAATGTGGAAGATGAAGCTATGGGTGGAGACAAGAGCACATAAGGGGAGTGTGTAGAATAAGAACACTATGGGGTCAATCATATGTTCCTGGAGGAGAAAGAACTATTGGAGAGGTTAGTGACATGGAAATGAAGGTGGAAAAGTTTTAAGGAGAAGCAAGGGAGCCCTTAACATGAGCTTCTGTAGAAGAACTGAGAAGTGATGTCCAGCAACTGAGTTGTTACTAGTTCTTGCCTTCAGGATGCACACACTAAAATCTGTAACAATGAGAATAGAAAAATGCTCTATTATGAAGGATCTCAGGCTGGGACATCTGTTATTTCACTGAGCACCAGGGTTAATTTGGCTGCTGTGGTGGTCTGGGGTGGGGAGTTTCCTCTTCCTACGTCCCTCCTCCATAGACATCCTCCATCAGCCAAATAAAATGGCCTGTCCAAGAGTAAAGTATCTTCTTTGGTCAATAGAATAAGAATGGTGGAACTCCCTCACTGGAATCTCCAAGCTGCCTCCAATGTGTACTGCAGTATTGTTTCTTTTCATAACACTGTCCCCTTTTGTAGACCAAAATCCAGAGATAACTATTGAAGATCCATTTATCTTCCATTTCACAATAGCCAGTACTTGTGGTGGTGCTGCAAGTTGAGGCAGAGCCTTCCTCAAAGTGAGAAAAGGAAGAATAGAAGGAAGTAGGAGAAAGGTGACAGTATGTCAGGATTAGTTAAAGGACTAGCATAGGCTACTTGGGTAGGGTTTTGTTAGGCAGAGATAGTGGGAACAGGGAGTGGGAAGGAGAAGATGGCATTCTTGCAGGAGGATGGTAAACACAAAGGTGCAGAGGTGGGGAAGCACAGGCCAAACTCAGGAAATGTAAGTAGACTTGCTGGGCTGCATCTCCAAGAGCTAGCACAGGATGGGTGGGAGAGCAGGCTGGAATGCGGACTCAGAGCCAGACAATAGAGTTCTGAGGGCCAGGGGGAGGGAGTTTGGGCTTTCTTGCCCTGTGGTTTGACAGCTTCTGGGAGGAACCATCAAAAGCTTTTCAGGAATTCAGGTTTGTCTGTCTCAGGCTTCTCCTCCTGGAAGACCAAGGGCCCAAAGTGGCAGCCTGACATTCAATCTCCTTTGCCATGGTTGGGAAGTCAGGGCTGAAGCTGATTTCATTGGCCTGTTTTGCATTTATTATAGTGTGATTTTTATAGTGTGTTAATTGAAATATTTCCAACTGCCAAAAACAATTACACTCAAATTGCCCTGTCAGTTCTTTTATTGCCAGATAAATGTTTTACAGACATATTTATGGGGGTCAGTGGTAACTGGATCTCGTTTTCTATTTAAGGCTGGCAGTTTGAGTTGGGATTGGCCCTCCACTGCTCTGTTGTGGGCCAGAAAGCTGTTGGACATTGTGAAGCTTCCATCTCATTACCTTAAGGATCAGAGGTTCTTCAAAGGAAAGCAGCTTTCTGGCTCATGGAGCTTAGCCTCAGATAAAGGTTCCCATTCACTGGAAACCTTGGCAACCTGGCAGAAATCTGAATCCTGCTGCCTGCTCTACTAAAAACAATCCCAGCTCAAGCTGAGATAAGCTCTCTCCCCCTGGAATCTCTTTCCTACACCCCCTATCCCCACCACCATTAGAGCCTCTCACACAGACTCCATCATGAAAGAGTTGGAAGAGCTCATCTAGTTTAACTCCCTCACTTTGCATTTGGGAAACCTAGGTCCAGAGGCTTCTGCAAGATCACTCAAGTGGTCAGCAAGAGCTGGGAGCAGAGGTCTCTGTCCAATGTGCTATGCTGCCACCAATATGTGCCTTTTTGCTTCTCCACTGCCTTGACCCCTCCTTCAATGCGCTAGACCGGCTTCTTCCAAAAGCCCCTCCCTTACATATCCAGCCTCCACTGATCTCCCTCTTGCTCAGTCATCTGAAACATGTATTTATTCTGTATATATACCACATGGTTTTTGGTTGTTTGGTGGAACACTTTACTGTCTGTTACTGTTCTCCTCCTGCCTTTGTATGTACCATTTTCTTCTGAAAAAACATTTTCTCCACTTTGACAACTCATACTCATCCTTTCATACCCAGCTAAGAAATAGCCACCTTTGGGAGCCTTTCCTGTGCTCCCAGGCTGGGTAGGTGCCTCTGTGCACTCCTATAGAATGCTGGGCACACACGTTTCCATTGCTGGCACAGAGCTGCTTTCAAAGGAACATACTCTGAGTGCATGAGTGAGTAAATGATGAGTGAGCACTGATCACACTCATCTGTTCTCCATTAACCCTGTCAGGGCAAACTAGGGTAGGGACCTCATCTCTCTTTGTCTTTGTCCCACTGCTTAGGTTAGTGGGACACATAAATAGATGCTCACCAAATGTTTACCAAGTTGAATTGAGTATGCTTCTCTTGGGAACATAAAGTTTTAGTATATTAGAACCAGAAGATCATCATATCCAATCCTATGCGTTTTACTGAGAAGGAAACTGAGGCCCAGAGAGGGAAAGCATTTTTCCCAAGATCATGATTACTGATGGTTTTGATGGCATTCATTCATTTGTTCAGTGAATGTTTAATACCTACTATATTCTGAGACAGCAGTGTGCAAAACAAAGTACGCACTCATAAAGAGCTTACATTCGTCCCTCACAAGAATATAATCTGCCCTCAAAATCCCCTTAATGCCTAGTACAGAGCTGAGCAGTCAGAATATGCTTTTAAAAAATGTTTGTTGAACCAGTCGCAAGTAAAAAATGCCCAGCACTACATTACCTGGCTGCTCTTCATGAGTCAGTCCCACTGATGCTGCAATGGGGTTGCCTCAGATATAGGACCTCTTTGGCTGGGCTAAGAAGCATATGTTGCCATTGAGAGGACTGTTTCTGAGACTCGAGAAAGCTCAGTCTCCCTTGTCTTCAAGGAACCCTGGCAGAAGCCTTTGTGTGTCCTGTAATACTGTTTCTGATATTTCCCTAGAGATTTGCTTAGGACTTACCTTTTGTTTCTGTTCTTTCAGAGTATCAGCATGGGCAGAGGAGCCAGGAAGAGAGTAAGTGCTGAGACCACCACAGTCTCTCAGCAAGAAGCTAACAGCATATTTTCTGCTGAAAGAAAAAATAGAAAATTCAAATGCACAAAAACCCCATTAAAATCACCCTTAAGCCCACCATCCTGGGAAACCTCTTAGTTAACACGATGCTATGTCCTTTCAGATATTTCTTTGCATATATTAAAATTGCATAAATTTATTTTTAAATGGAATAAAAACGAATGTTACTCATAATCTGCTTTTTACATAGTATGTTCAGAACACCTTCCACTGCCAATAAATATACTTTTATAGCATCATTTCGAATTACTGCATAATATTTTACCATATGTTCCTTAAGGCCATACATAATTTGGTTAACCATGCCCCATTGTTAGACATCTAGATGTCTCCTTTTTCTCACTATTGTGGTCAGTCCTCCAACAAACATTTATGTATTTAAATCTTGGGCCATATCCTTGGTTATTTCTTCAATATAAATTCTTATACATAGAAATTTGGGTCAAATACTATAAATAAATATTTATTAGGCTTTTGATAAGTATTGCAGAAATTGCTCTTTAGAAAGATGCTAATTTATGGGTGCCCATTTTCCCACACCTCACCAACACTGGGTATTAGTTTTGTTTATTGGTTTTTGTTTTCAGTTTTCACCAGTTATGTACTGAAAAAAACTGTATTGTTTTATTTTGCATACTTTAATTGCTAATGAGGGTGAATATTTTTTATATGTCATGTGTCACTTTAGCAAGGTGTTTATCTGTCAGGGAAGGGAAAAACTTCTAGTCCTTGATTTTTTTGCTCCAAGGATCTGATGGGACTGTGAAGCTTAAAGTTACCAAGTATTGAGAATATTGCTGTTAGAGTAGCCTTCAGGTGGCAAACTGGAAGACAAAATATGAAGTAGCTTAAAGAACAGCTGGGCATCCTTCATTTTGCATAACGCCCTGCTTTTGGCAGCAGGTCCTGGCCATTAGCTTCCAGGCTGCATGGAAGGCAGCAGGGTGGAGTCAGTTCTTTGGTCCCAAAAACTCACCACAGTGTTCCAGCTAAGCCCTGATCCCCAGGGTCTAAGTGGCCATGATCTGCCAGGCAATAAGAACTCTGGGCTGAGCAGTTCCTTTGGACTCTTCCATGAGTGGTCTGTTGAACATTTCATATTCTGTATATCAGAGACAGAGCTTAGCTTCTAAGGAGAATTTGTGAATCAAGGAGCTTCCTGTAGCACTGCTTGCTTGTCCAAGCTAATTAGTCACTCCTGATCCTCATGTGAGGTTTTTGTCCAGGAGGAAGATTCAGGTACCGAAGTGGGAGAAGCGACAGATGAATGGGTCCAGCCCAAAGCCACAGTTAGACTTCCTGACCAGCTGGAGTTGACAGATGCGGTGAGTGAGCAGTATCCTTCCCTTGCTGCGTCTGCCTCCTCTGGCCTCAGGGATATACTCTTCCACAGTATCAACTAGGAGCCATGCAGAACCTGGGTGTGAGATGTCTACTGATGCCCCTGGGGTCCTCCAAAGCCTCTGAGGTGGCAGAAAGCCTCTGTGTATGACACCCTTTTGGTATTTTTCTCCCTTAGGAGCTAAAGGAGGAGTTTACCCGGATTCTGACAGCCAACAACCCACATGCACCCCAGAATATCGTCAGGTACAGCTTCAAAGTAAGTCATCTTCTCTGGTGCTCCTTGGCTTGGTGGTGACTTGCTACATTGCAAAAGCTCCTCGGCTATTAGAGAGATCACCTTTAAACCTGTCTTGGCTGGTACCCTGAGATTTTACATGGAGTTTTTCAAAGATTTTTAGAAGTTCTTTTTGACACTCTCTTGCAGTTTTGCTAATTGCACTGTTTTAAGTGCCCTGCAGAGCCTCTCTTTTCAAGAACCCAAAAGTGAATCATTCGGTTAGAAAAATACTTTTCCAATGTGTACGACACATTTTTCACTAACATCAACTATCAGGTCTTCAGGAAGTGAGTGTTCCTCAAGTGAGACACCTGGGTGGAGTACAAACTCCCCTTCGCACAAGGAGCTGGCCTTTCCCTGCTCATTCCTGCCTGGGAGGAAATCCCAGCAGGAGCAGGCTCCATTCCCCATGTCTCCTGACCTCACAGCCAGGTGAACAGCTGACTCCATCAGGGCCTTCCTGTGGTACACGTGGTCTGGGTGCCTTCTCACTTTGTAGACACATATATGGCACATCTTTAAGGGGGACAACAATTTTTTCAGCCATACGAGGTCAGCTCCTGTGAGTAGTGACTAAAGAAAACAGATTCTGAGGACAGTTCAAGCTAAAGGGGAAGTGATACATGTGTCTTTTATTTCAGTATTTTAAGATTCATTTGTTCCATGCTTACCATGTGCCAGTGTCAGGTCCTATATTAGACCTTTTACATATGTTATCTCATTTAATCCTCAGGTTTCTTTGATATAGGAACTATTTTTACCTTCATTTTATAGAAACCAAAATTAAATTGGATAAAACAAATTACAAAAGTCACACAACTAGGATTCAAAGCAAGATTTAAACTAGTTCTTTGTCTGATGCCAAAGCAACATCACACTTCTTCTTAAAAATATCTGTATATGAAATACACACATATATATGTAAAAATTATTTTGAATATATAAAAGAAACCCATGGTATAAATTTCAAAAGATTCAAAAGAATAATGAAAATTAAATCTCCGTCCCCTTTCCCTTTCCCTGGCGACAACCACTAGCAACAACTCCTTAAAAAGGAAAAAGTTTTATAGAGATATAATTTATATACCACACAATAACCCATTTAAAGTACAATTCAATGGCTTTTAGTATATTCACAGATTCTGCAACTATCACCACAGTCAAATTTAGAACATTTTCATTTCTCCCCAGAGAAACCCCATACTTCTTAGTTGTCACTCCCAGTCCTCCATCCCTTACAGCCCTAGGCAACCACTAACTCATTTTCCACCTCTGTAGATTTGCCTATTCTGGACATTTTATATAAAAGGAATCATACCTTATGTAGTCTTTTGTGACTGGCTTCTTTCATTTAGCATAACATTTCCAAGGTTCATCCATGTTATAATGTATATCAGTACTTCATTTCTTTTTATTGCCAAATAGTCCATTACATGAATATACTATATCCATTTATTATGCATTTATCAGTTGATGGGCATTTGGATCATTTCTGCTGCTTGGCTATTATGAACAATGCTGCTATGAATGTTCATATGTAAGTTTTTACAATGTTTTTTGAACACACTGCTTCTTATTTAAGATTGAGTAATCCATCACTCCACAAAAAGGTTGGGACAATTCCAGATGTTTCCTGAGAGGTTCCACTTCTGAGCTGTGCTACTGGCCTCCCTTGGGCAGCATATAAGGGATAGAGGGAAGATGCTGTGCCCTTCCTGAGCTTATGCTGGAGTGCAGCACACTCTATGGGCTCCTGTCCTTCTGAAACTGTCAGTGTGCTGGCTGAGGAAGGCATGCTACAGGCAGAGGAGTGGTGCTGCTTTGTGGGTGTCAATGTACTCCTCTGGCTCTCTGGGAAGCCCATTTATTAGAAAAAGTCCTTTGAGTTGACTGCCAGCTGGGAAGCCCTAGGCTGCCAAGCAGGTTCACCTTAGCCCACCTTCTAACAGCCTCCCAGGCCTATGTGGCATCCTTCCACAGAGCTGGTCTTCATCTCATTGGTCCTTCACTGAGATCCAGGAGCTTTAGGTTTCCAAATAGCCTCCTTTCCCTTGACGTGCTTGTGTGGGGAGGCAGATGGTTTCAATCTAGGCTTGCCTCATCTCCTTTCACAGGAGCAATGGAGTCAGAATTCTATTCCTAAACTGAAGAGGAAGGTCCTAGTCACTGCTGGGGACAGAGTGAAGCTGAAATCTCAGATAACAAGTATACGGAAGCTTATTTCCATGGGAACCTCCATCATCGTAATAATAGTTGCTATTTTATTGAGCACTTATTATATGTGTCAGATACTATGTTAATAGAGTGTTTTCATTACTTGCAACTATCCTGCAAATTAGATATTATTATCATCATTCTACAGATGAAGAAGTTAAGGCTTAGAGGGGTTAAACCCAAGGTCATGGAAATCAGGGACAGAATCAGGATTTGAATTCAATTCTGCCCACCTCTACAGACATGCTCTTGACCACTGCACTGTCCCATCTCCCCACCCATCTGAGTTAATGAGAAAGGAAGGCTTTGTGGTGACTTTTAAAGCAGAGCTTGCTCATCTATGTGCAGAAATAGAGATCCTGTTAGTCCTCAAGGGGCAGGTGGGTCTAGTATTGCTGGAGCCCATGGGTTGGTTTCCTCTGCAGTGAGTTTACCTCAGTGTGCCATACAAAGGTATTAATTTTCTTTATGGCTGGGAAGAAATATTTTCAAAGAAAGAAGGGATCCCTCGTCTTCAGACTAGGATACTGATCAATGAGGAGGAAGTCTAGAGGAACAAGTCTATAGGCTCATGAAAGCAGGGATCACATCTGCCTTTGCTAAGCTTTATATTCCTGGAACCTAGAACATACTTGGTGCCTTTTGTCTATTCAAAAATTAGTTTTTGAAGAAGGAATAAGCAAGATTGCCTGGGCTTTAAGCCTAGCTCTGCTTCTCATTTGCTGTGTGTACTGGAAAAGTACCAAACACAAACGTTGTCCAGGTTTCTGTGGTCTTGTATGAAACAGAGGGATTAGGGATTCTGTATCTTTAAGGATCTATCCAGCCCTGGCATCCACTAAGAACAGTGGTGAGACGGTCAGGTCAGGTATGTTTGATGACTGTGTGTGACCTGCCTGAGGTCTTTGGTGAGCCAGTTGAGCCAGGATCCTTTGGCACAGATGCAGGAGCCAGTGACAGGTAAATACAGAGCTGCTTGAAGTTTGTGTAAACAGGTATTGTAAAATATGCCTTTGATGAGAACTTTAAAAAAAAAAAACTTCATTTAATTTGCCTCCTCTTCCTTAAACCAGACTACAGTGAAAACTTCAGGTTAACTGAGTACTTGCTGAGTTACATTTCCATTAGCAGGTGGACCAACTTAGGCCTTAGAGAATGAAGGCAAACTACATTCTGATTCCAGCACTTGTGGGGACCCCTGGCCTGACTCAGCCCCCTCTCTTCTTAGGAAGGCACATATAAGATTATTGGTTTTGTGAATCAACTAGCAGTTCACTTCAGCCAGGTTGGGAACCTGATCCCCAAAGACTCGGATGAAGGCCGGCGGCAGCACTACCGTGATGAGTTGGCTGCAGGTAGGCCTCCTGGCTGGCCTAAGGCTGTAGCCCAGAGCCTGGTCCCCTTTCTCTGGTCACTGTAGTGGGTAGATTGCTAAGCTAGGACCTTGCAGAGCCCCTCCTTATATTAAGTCCAACAGTTGGCTGCCCCAAGTTAGGTCTTAGAGTTAGCCCAGGAGGCTCAGGCCAAGGAGAACCATGGGGCAGGTGAGGTGTGAAAGGCAGGAACCTAGAAGGCCTTGCCCTGCCAGAGGATGGGGGAGTGGGACTGGATTTGTGGCTTATCAGCAACATCCTACCCAGGTTCTCAGGAGTCTGCCAAAGTAGTGATTTCAGAAACAGAAATTCTTGAAGAAGAAGAAGAACCTAAGGAAGCAGAAGCTGAAGCTGAAGCTGAAGCTGGGAGTCAAACAGACATGCCTGCATCTGAGGTACAGCATAATATGGCTCTTCCTCCCTCCTCTTCCAACTGCAGCTGTGGGTGGAGGCTTCAGAGGCAGCTCACCGGGGACAGGGACTGAAGGTGAGAAGTTAGAGGCTATAGGTGCCAACACCTCTGGCATCGTCACTCTCTCCCACTTCTGGCCTATCCCACGCCTTCTCCCCACTCCTGATTCCCCACCATCTTCTTCTCTCAGCTGAACCCTGGTCCTGTGGGACTTTTTTTCTCAGGCAGCTGAAAAAGTGTCTGAAGAAGAATTGATAACTCCTAAGCAGCCAAAGGAGCAAAAGCTCACCAACAAGTTCAACTTCAGTGAGAGGGCCTCACAGACCTTCAACAACCCTCTCCGGGTAAAGCAGCCCACAACCCAGCCCCTTCAGCTTGCAGCTCTGCATGCAGGCAGGAAAGAAGCAGGCCTAACCCCAGCCCCAGAAGCTCTCAGCCTGGCAGGGTGACAGGGCAGACACCACAGTTTGTCTTTCCAAAGGGGAGCTGGGAGGATGTGTTCAGGGTCCTGTAAACCATCCAAGCAGTTTAAAGGGAGTAACAAGGAGGCTGGAGCCCTACGCTGAGATTAAAACCTGAATTGGGCCTTGAAGAGGAGGTCAGGATCTGGGGAAGAACTGGCAGGTCACAATGTTCCTGGGAGGCAAGGCTAGGAACCAGTTTGACTGAAGTTGATGGTCTCTGTGATAGACCAGCTAGAAAAGTTCCCTGGCTCATAAGTATGGAGGACCCTGAGTACCAAGCTGAAAGAACTTCTCAGAGTTTCAGGTGAGAGACTTACACATGTAAGGAAGTATTCTAAAGGAATAAATCTGTGAATGGAAGGCAGAGATGTACTAGTAGGTTTCTGGCAGCTCTTAATCACACTGTGTAGTCTCTATGCTGACCTCTGGTAATCTGGGTGATAACACAGTGGGGAGGGGTGCATCTGCCTGGTGGAACCAGAGATCCCAGGATTAGGGAGAAGCTTTCTCAGTGGGGAATATTAACCCAGTGGCCTGCCAGAGGCTGACCTCTGTGTTCTGTCTGGAGGCTGGCCATAGGTCCAACTTCTAACAAATCTGTTCATCTGCCACTAGCAGTTTTTCTTGGTTGAAACTAGCACAATCAGGCTTCGCTGCCCCTACTTTCTAGCTTAGGCTTCTTCTGAAGGAGACTTGGATGGGAAATACAGGCTTTCACTGTTTCATTTGCTCCTTTGGCCAGGCCCCTCTTTACTTCCCCAGTTCTGTGTCCCACACCTCCCTCACCTACAGCCAAAATATTTCACCCATGGATATGCTGTTGGGTTAAGGAGGAGTGGAGGGTTTTCTGTGTACTTCCTGTCGTCACTGTTCTCTAGGACCGAGAATGCCAGATGGAGCCTCCTCCCAGGACAAATTTTTCAGCCACAGCCAATCAGGTGAGACCCTGGGCCAGTCTAAAAGCCATGCTCCCCACCCCACCTTCCATGCTCAGCAACAAGGAAGACTGGTATAGTCAAAGATCCTCTGGCAGTCTGCCCTCCCCATCCATCTGCTTCCCTCCTCTTTATCTATGTTCTGAACACCTGGTACATGAGACAGTAGGTCCCCACCCAGTGAGCTCTGGATTAGCCACATGCCCCCCACATGCCCTTCCAGGCATGGCTTCTCAAAGTTCCTCCAAGACCAGGGGAGAACACTTGTTCCCATGGACTTTATGCAGCCCATTGCACCCCGTGGCTGACTCTGGTGTTAACACTCTGACCCTGCCCTTCCAACAGCCTTCAGTGTTCCTGTAGACCTTCCTTCCTCATCAGATCCTACCAGATGGCCATGCCGATTTTGGTAGGATATGGTGCCAGGAATTATGGGCAAACCATGCCACCCTAATGCCTCAGTTTCTTTCTCTGTTAAATGAAGACAACAGCAACCTCACAGGGTTGTTGAAGGGCTCCAATTGAAATAACAAACATTGAAGTATGTTGAAGTGTGGAATACTGGCCCATGGGTGACTTATTATTAAATGTAAGGTGAGCCTATCTGGCCTCCAGGTGGCAGTGACTGTCCAGGGGAGCACACAGTGTGATCTGAGGCAGCCCCTGATTCTTGCTGCTTCCTCTGCTACTATCCTTGGGCTTCTCCTGCTGTCATATGCAGTTAGCAGAGGTCCCTCACTCTTTGTTTAAACTTTTATGCTGAGAGGATATGGTCAGTGCTGCAGACAGCCAGGATGAGCCAAAATGTTTATCCCATCCCCATGGAAAGAGACATTTTTTGAATTTCCTAGTTCAGAGTTTTGTAAGTCACCAAGAAAAATGTGAGCTAGCCTAATGTTTGACCATTTATTCTGCCTGGTGGGGGTTGTAGGCTGGAACAGTACTGACATCCATCTGACAACTGAGACCCTGGGCTGCATGGTGGGAAGCCCAGCCCAAAGGTGCCCTGAGAGCTCCTTCATTCCTGTCCTAGAGCTGATGGTTAGCAGGGAAGATAGACAATGAATACATAATTAAGGTGTGCGGGGCGGTTAGGCAATGTCATGGAATTGTGTGACTGGGGTTGATATAATTGACTCCTCAAGCCATAAAACCTGAAGAGGAGCTGGCTGGGTGAAGATTTTGCCCTTGATGATCCTTCTCATCTTGCTCTTGCCTAGTGGGAGATCTATGATGCCTACATGGAGGAGCTTGAGAAGCAGGAAAAGACCAAAGAGAAGGAGAAGACAAAGACCCCAGTTACTAAAAAAATGGGGAAGATGGCTCTGAGGAAGATGACATCTATGGAATCCCAGGTTTGCTGAAGTTCCCATGACTCTGGGACACAGAATGACCGAGTGAGACCTTGACCCCTGGGTAGACAGAAGCCTGGCTATGTGGGAGAACTTCACAGACACTTAAAGCATGTGTATCATCAGGGGGAACTAATGTTGAAATATGAATAGTTATTTCATTGTGGGAAGATGTGAGGAGAGCTACAGCTGCCTCTTGCATTCCACACCTACTCCCAATTTTATATGGGTCTGGAGGCTGGCAGGGATTGAGGATTATTGGGCATGGGGGCAACAGAAGACATGAATGTTATTGAAAGCCCAGTGTGTACCTTGGAAGAGCTGCAGAGTCTTCCCAAGATGGGGTGAGGATAAGGCACCACCTCCATGGGCAAAGGCTCATGGGGTTTGGTAGGTTAATTAGCTCTTTGATCTTCAGTCCTCAGGTTTACTTGTGTTCAATTCTTTAAGGGAGTCTTCAGGGCCAAGAGTCAAGTCAGAGCTGAGCACAGGTACCAGTAAGTCCAGATCAATGGGCATGGCCATCTGGGATGGATTTACTGAGGAGCAACGTAGGAGTAACTTTAGAAGTCAAAGTTGAGGGACTTTCTGTGGGTGTAACAAGCATAGGTTTGGGGTAATCATGGAAGTTAAAGTGATAGGTCACTGTAGGAGAGGTCACCACAGGAAGATTTTCCCTCACAGGCCACATTTGTCCCTTCAATGGAGAGAAAACTGGGTCAGGAGCCAAAGACATGGTATGAGTTTGAGGGGCAATGGGTGGGAAGGATGAGGCCAATAGGAAGCTGAGGTCTGGGTTCAGCACCTCGGAGAGCTCCCAGACAACTATTGAGGGTGTGGTGTCTGCTCTACCCCAGAACCAAAGCCAGATCAATTAAAGGAAGTTCTGCTTCCTTTGTCTGAGGTATACCCGCTTCCATTCAATTCCATGTCTCTGATAAAGTCACATTTTAGGGGAGGTTTGACTGTTCCCTGCCTTAGCTTAATAGGAATTGCCCAGATTCAGTTTCATTCCATCACTGACTAAGCACTTGCTGATCCTGACTGTGCTGGGTACTAGAGCCCTGAGGTGAAAGATGGTGTCTCTGCCATTCAGTTCATCCTATCCAGACCTCTGACTTCCCCTGCACCATTCCCTAGAGGTTAGGGGTTTCATAGAGGCTGTCGGCTTGGGTCTGAGTTCACATGAAGATCGATTGGGTATTTGGCTATTGGCTCTGTGCTGGGGCCATGGTTATAGGAACCTTAATTACAGTTACTAGGACCCTGAGACCAGAAGAAAGGTCCCTGTAAGCTGAAACTGAAAATTGTCCTTAGGTCTAAGCCACAGGGACCAGTTGGTGTCTAACACCCTCAGGGAGGCAGACTCCACTGGGTTCTTCCAGCTTATCTGACAAGGAAGGCTGTGATGCAGGCATATTCTAGCCCTTTTGATCAAGGAGCTACAGTGGATGCAGAATACTGGTGGGTATAACATACCCCACCCCCCTCTAGTGAATACCTTCATGTGCATCCTGTCCCCAAGGGAACTGGACTCTAACTGGGAATCTCAACCACTGAGTCAGGCTGTCTGTAGAACAGAGTGGCCTTGTGTTCAGGCCCAGTGCATGAACAGAGTGACACCCCTTTCTTAGAGACCTGGGTCTGATTGGGTTGATATAAAACCCAGTATCAAAAGTGTGGGAGGAGAGAAAGCAGAATAACTCCATGAAACTCTATAGGAAGGTCTATAATGGTAAATCTCAGGTTTCTATCTCATTAATGGTTCATAAATGTACAGAAATGAATGCAAGCTTGTCTGATCTGAAATATTAGTACAGGAATGTGGGAAAGCGCTCAGAAGCCACAAGTTCAGTCAGAAGCAATAAAGAGCTATGTCTGCTCAAGTAGCATAGTATCCAGAGCAAGTAAGACAACAGACTACTATACTCTCTCCTCAGAACATATCTGGAGCTCTGAATCTCCCAGGACCAGGAAAGGACAAGGAAAGACTCTGAATCTTCCTGACCAGGGTGGTCAGGCTGGGGAGGGACTGGCTCTCTGTGTGGGGCTAAAAGTATAGGCTTTGGAGTCCACAGACTTAAGTTTATATCCTCACTTTGCCATTTATTAACTGGATTTTTCTAAAATCTGTTTCCTCATCTGTAAAGCCCTCTTAATAATACCTACTTTGCAATGAGAACCCAAGCTGATGTATGTACAGCCCATAACATAGTATTTGCTGGATACTGATTGTTATTAATATGCCATGCCATGCCATGGCTGCAGAGCTAGCAAGGTTCCTCTGAAGAACTGCTGACCTCAGGACTGTATCAAAGAAGTTAAGCAACTTGCCCAAAGTTGCCACTGGTCTCCTGATGTGTGGGATGGGATGAGAATGTTGGTCTGTGTGTCCCCAGAATCCATTCTCTTAACCACTGCCTGACACTGCTACTCCTCAAGAACCATGGGCCTGGCCCTCTGGAGCCTCTCTGGAGGTTGCCCTTGAACTGGTTCACTCCTGCCACCTGCCTAAACTCTTTGGGCTTTTCTTGCCAGGTTCAAGCTCTTTGTTTGTCTATTAACCTCCTAAATTGTTCACCTTGTGGATTTATGGAATTTCACATAAGGATAATGTTGATTTTTTTTATTCAAAATGAGTCATTTTTCTCTTATGAAACTTCCTGCTTTTTGTTTGGTCTGGGCAGTGGGCAAGGCCTGAATTAAGAGTGAATTCTGCCTTATACTCCCTGTGTACAAGCATGTTTCTCTCCCCTCTCTGAGCCTCATTGTCTTCCTCAACTTTGGCCAAAAAAATTGGACCAGAATCTCTGAGGCCATTAGTGGGCATCTTTGTCACTGACTGAGCCAGTGAAACCTCCAACCTACCCCACTAAAGGAGCCTCCTACCTGCCCTGTCTGCTCTCCCCTTCCTGGGCTTTCTTCAATGCCCTGTCTCATGCTCAGAGACATGCTTTCTCCAAAACAAGCTCAGATTAAAAGAGCGTGAAATAGGCTTTGCCCAGGGGCTAAGTATGACAGTGCAGACTCCTTGTGCCACTTGTAAGCTGGGCATTCCCAGAAGGAGGTGATGAAGTGAGGTGGACCTTGAGGCATGAAGACATATTTTTACAGAGCTGTCTGGGATGGGTGGTGTTAGAGAGTCATTGCTGAACCGATTGCATGCCTGAACTTTGGCTTGAGGCATGGCCTTTCCAGGTGCTGGCTATGAGGACCCATGGCCTCTGTATCTCCACAGAGTGATGATATCACCAAGGTGACCCAAGCTGCTAAAATCGTGGAGCGGATGGTCAACCAGAACACATATGATGACATTGCTCAAGGTAAGATTTGAAGTTCTAGCAACTAATATTATTGCCTGTATTAAAATTACCTCAAAGAAGGGGAGTATTTGAGTGTCCCAGCTAGGTGCTATAGATGCAAGGGGAGAGAAAATAGTCCTTCCCTCCTCTGCATATTACTAGGGAGACAAGACTTATACAAGTTAATTATGAACAATGGCATAAGAAAAAATGGGAGTAGTGATGAGATCTGACAGTGGTGCGGCAAACACACCTGCACATCAGTAATCCAATGCCTTATTCCCAACAGTCCTGGGAGGTAGGCAGAGCAGAGATCACCCCTATTTTATACATGAGGAAGCAAAGGCTAATGAATGGCAGAGAGGACCCAGATTGAGAGCCTGAGCTTCCTAATTCTGGGCTTTGTCCTCTACTCTGGCTTGAGAACAATATAAATGCTAGATTGCTGACAAAAGCTGCTCTGGGGATCCTTGAAATGAAGGAAGGGAAATGAAGGATGAGTCGCATCAGTCAAGGAAGGCTTCAGGGAGAGCTGAACGAAATGCCAAGAGATAGGCCAAGTTTGAGTGGGAGATTAGTAGAAGGGCAGATGTTCTGGGCAGGGGACAGCATGAGCAGTGACTCCATGGTGAAAATGAATTGAAATGGACTCTGGGGACAAGGGGCAGCAGGCGCAGTTACTCAAACAGGGGCCTTGTGGGAAGGTGATGAGAGTTCAGGCTGGAGACATGGCTGGAGCCAATTAGCGAAGGGCCTTGAATATCATGCAGGGAATTTGAGCTTTCTCTGCAGGCACCTCAAAGATACTGTCCAGGCAGAGACACAGCCCAGTGTGAGCAGGGCTGGAGGATGTGACTGGGCAGAATACAGGGATAGATGAAGGTGAGGTTCAAGTGTGGGGTGTAGTGGACCTTGCCACACCTTACCCACTCTGCATCATAGAGGATGAAGAAAAAGGAATGGTTATAATAGCAAAAACCTAGCTCCAGAATTCCCTGTGAATGGCCTATGTACTAGGCATTGTGCTGTGCAATTTGCACATAGTATCTTATATTATCCTGACAGCCACACTGTCAAGTAAATACCATTATTACCTCCATTTTATAGATAAGAAATTCAGGCTGGAATGTTGCCACCTGTTTAAAACCACAGCTAGTGTGAGGTGTTAGTGGTGTAATCAGGACTCGAACACAGTCCTCTTGGATCCATAGCCTAAGCACTTCAGCACAAGGCGACAGAGCTACTGAGCTGGAAGAGACATTTCAAATAAACATTCAATAGGTCTATGCTGGTGATTAATTAGTGATGAGATGAAGAAAGGGATTGATTCAGAAATGCCTAAATCCTGGGAGCCTGGGAAATTCTGGTGTCTTTGATAGAGCCAAGGAAACAAAATCCTTCCCATGGCATGAACAGCACATTCCCAAGTGGCTTTTATTTCCCTGAGAGGTTGTGCATTTATTTGGAGCAGCTGCCTCCCCAGAGTTGGCAGCTCCTCTCTACTGGCTGGTCTCCTTTGCTGACAGCCTAGGGCTCTTCTTGGTGACTCGATGCTCATTGCTCACCCATGGGACATAAAAACCAGGACTGCCAAGACCAGCAGCCTAAACAAGCCCCCTTGTTATCATTCATGCTGGAAAATGACCTTGAGTGCTTTTCAAAGCTGTCAAAGTACACAGCGGTTGTGAATGAATGTGTCACTCACACAGCTTGGCTTCCTGAAACCCAGCCTCTGCAACCAGCCCATCAAAGGGCTCAAACATGATTAATATCCATGGAGAAATTGGCCTTGGTGAACCTTTTTCATTTATAAGAACACAATCACATAAAAGTGCATTGAACTTTTATTTTTTTAATTGCATACTCTTTTCCCTTTGGGAAAGTATAATCATGGAGGAGAAGTGAAGGCAGAGAAGTGTTACCAATTAATCTCCTCTCTGAAATGAGATGTTTTCAAAGATATCTGAACACAGGGATCTCTGATGTGATCAAGGCTTATGCCTTTGCCCACTCTCATCTTTTTTTGTTCTGAGACACTTTTGAGGTTTGAATGTAGTCCCACAATGTTAAGGTGTGAGGCATTGGGAGAAAGGCTGGAGCAGTGTCTGAGCTTGTCCTTGACTGTGTTGGTTGAGACGATTCATTTTCCAATGGGTCATCCTTGGCTGGAAAGAAGACTGAGAACCACTTCACTTCTGTTGATTTATTTAATTGCATTCTTTGAACAGTTGCTAGGTATCTGATCTGTGGCTGGGCCTGTGCTAGGTGTGTGTGTGTGTGTGTGTGTGTGTGTGTGTGTGTGTGTGTGTGTGCGCGCGCGTGCGTATAAAATGAAGATAAATATACCATGCTGGCTGCTTTCCAGGAGCTGTCTGGTGGGGGAGACAGGCAAAAGGATAAAACAGAGGTAATACAGGAGGATAAGCATTTCAGTAGAGGAGAAACAGGGCTAGAACAATGGAAGAAATTAATTCTGCTCAACAAGAAAGTGAAGGCCTCACAGAGGAGGAGGAGTTTGATCTGGATCTGGAGTGAATAGCAGTTTTCCCGGAAGACAAGAGGAACAGGACATTTTAGACACTAGTTGATATAGATGGTATATGAAAGGTGGGTAGAAATGACCTGGAAGTAGTGTCCTGGAGCCTTGGTTTGACCAGGAAGCCCCTGTGCAAGGGGAGCCATAGAAGAGTTTTCAGTGGGGTTGGAGAGGTGGTGTAGTGAGGTGATTTACTTGTTCTCACTCTGGGAGCTCTGTGGCATGGACTGGAGGAGCTGTTACTGGAGGCAGGGAGACCAGTTGGGGCGGAGGGGTGTTTATTATTCTCCAGGTAAAACTGTTGGGGCCTGAACCTGGACAGTGGCTATGAGTTTGAAGAGACTGAATGGATTAAAAAGACAATCGGAAGGAAAATGTGATAAGTCATGGATTCCCAGGTTTCTGGTTTAGACAAGTAGAAGGATAGATGGGGGTTCTACCTAAGTTAAAGGAAATGGGAAGCAGCGACAATTTAGGGCAGGAGATGAACTTGAGTTTAGAGAATCCATGAGGTATCTAGGCAGCTCCATCATAGTGGAGCTTGGCTGTGAAGATTGGCAAACCTGGGATTTTATCAATGTTGGACATGGCTGCTTTATTTCATTTACCTCCAGCAATGTGGTGGACCTGGTGGGGATGGGAGGGTTTTGCCATAAAGTGGCAGTGCCAGAGCAGACTCAGCCTATGTGTGTTTAAGATTTTAAGTACTATGAAGACCCGGCTGACGAATACCGGGACCAGGAGGGAACGCTGCTGCCGCTCTGGAAGTTCCAAAACGACAAAGCCAAGCGATTGGCCGTCACCGCCCTCTGCTGGTGAGTACAGACACTGCAGCAAATCTGAAGCCCCTGAGCGCCTGCTCCCTGCCAAGCCATGAATGAGCAGGCACTTCTGCAGTTAACCACCTTGATGGTGACACATAGCATTAGGTAAAAATGGGACTGGGATTCTTATGGGACTATGTGATCAGTCCAGGTCTCTAAGCTCAACAGTAGATGTGTGCAGTGTTGTTAGGTAACAGTGTTCATGGGAAGGCTCATGTCCTTGGGAAAGCCATGTCCATTTCCTGGGCCAATGGATTCGTATTTCTCTTGCAGGAATCCAAAGTACAGTGATCTGTTTGCAGTGGGACATGGCTCCTGTAAGTAAATTGGCTATTCATTCATTTGCTCACTCAGCCAGTGAACACTAGGTACCTATTCAGTGCAGAGCTCTTTGTCAGGTATCAGAGATACATAATGACTAAGATACAGACATTTCCTTCAGGAGGTCCAAAATCAAATGGGGGAGACTGATAATCATACCAGCAATTTAGTTCTGGGTGAAGAAGTACACCAAAATGAGCCTTCAAGGAGTTATTACTGTGAGAAAAGACAGGGATAGCACTTTTGGCAGAGAGACTAGCATATGCAAAAGTCTGGGAGGAAATGAAGTTTGTGGAGGGGCTGAGGATTAGCCCTCAAAGGGCTTGATAAGCTGTTCCAAGAAGCTTGGATCTTCTCCTGAGGGGAAACCACTGATGGGATTTGAGAAGGGTGGGGACAAGCCCAGTGCAGCGGGGACCTGCAGACTTAAGATAGGAAGCTAGGAGACTGGTGAAGCATCCCAAGGTGAGATGGCAAAATCTCAAACATGAATGTAAAGTGGGGATGGAGAAATAGGTTTGAAAAGCATCAAAAGTTAGATTTAACCAGACCTGGAGAGGGACTAGATGGTGGGGGCTGAGGTAGGGGTCTCCTGATCAGGTCCTGGAGCAGAGAAGGGTTGGGGCAAGTGCTTGAAGCGCATTACTTGGCCCCTGAACCCCGGGAGAGCACTGCTGTCCAGGGTGTTCCCACCCTTGCCGGTGCTGCTCCACCCCTCCCCTCACCCCCACAACAGGAGGCAGCACTGTGGAAACTATGAGGCAACTTGCTTTCCCTTCGTGTTTCTTGGTCCCCACAGAAACCCCTACCTCCTCGCTGGCCCAGATGTTCCCCTTTCCTAACAGGAGAGGGCCCCACACTTCAAATTAGCCACAGCTTCCCAGCTTGTTCTCTGGCTGGGAGGGTAAAGTTCTATGAACAGAAAACCCTCCTATTCTCCAAGCTGCTGCTGGCTGGCAGGCCTACAAGCTCCTGGTCTCTGCCCCTCAGACAGCCTAGTCTGCCCAGCCCATTCTCTGTCCGGGATGGAGGAGGTTGGCGGGTGGTGGGGGTCAGGCAAGGAGGAGTTGGTGTTTGTCATTCCTCTCAGGGAGGAGACCTGGGAACTGCTCCCAGTCTTATGGTCTGGGCTTCCTTTAAGGATGCCCTAAATGCCCGCTTTGTGTCTCCACTCTTGAAGGTGGGCTGCTGCCAAGCAGGACACACCCTCCCCCTCTGGCAGGGAACTAGCACATTCCTCCCTCTCTGTTGCAGCTTCTGGGCCTGGATCAGGGCCTAGGAGCTGGGCAGGGCCTCCCAGGAGTGGGTGTGGACTCCCCTGTGAGGCTGCTTTCAGCCCAGGCTCTCTGCCCAGGACTGAGGTATGGGTGTGAGGGGCTTCCCAGCAGGTGGGAAGAGAAACTCCTTCAGTCTAGCCCCATCTTCCTTCCACCCAGGGCTAGAAGCAGGGTCAGCTAGTTGGAGTCATGTTAGAGGCAGTCCATGGGGGAAGACTTAGCCAAGAGCAGTCTTAGAAAAGATCAACCACCCCTCAGGAATAGATGATCCCAAGCCTGAAAGGCCTAGCAGTTCCGGACAGGCAAATGCCCAGGAAGGGCACATTGTCCTTTGCTGGTCACATCCACATGCCTAGGTGGTACCACAGTCAGCTGCAGAATTTCTAGCTGGAGGATCCCTTCCCAATGATGTGACCTGGGGCCAGAAGCTGCATTGAGCCTTGGTTTCCTCACTCGCGACAAGGAGAGGCCGACATCTGGCAGCCCTCTAGGTCTGGGCTGCTGTGAGACACACTTGCAAGGAAAGCTGCAAACGCTCCCTGTGAGCTGTAGGAACCACCCACACATAAAGGACAATCACTGCTGATGTGTCTGTGGTTCTGTCTCCTAGCTTGTCTATAGGACCCTCACGGGGTCTGAGCACAGAACAGGGGCTGTGGGGACAGACAAGAATCAGACAAGGCCCCTACCTAGTCTCTTAGAGACCAGGGCCCAGCACTGGCAATGGTGGTATTCACTGTTGCTGTCACTGGGATGAGAGTTGGCATCTATTCTCCAGAGCCTTGCACATCTCAGTACCACTCTGCAGAGGTCTGAGCAAAGCCATGCTGGGCTGGGACTCAGAAAGGCCCCTGCATTCACTCCTGAGGTTGCCTCTGGAAGTCCCATGCTCTTGAGTCCATGTGCCTCCCTGGAAAAGGGCAGAGCTAAGGCAGGCAACAGGGACACTAGTTACTGGACAGGTCATTGTGAAGAGCAGCTGGCTCACCAACAGCCACCACACTGTCTTTGGAAGCTCACAGATGCCAGCCTCCCATCATCAGACTTTGCTTTATGCGGACAGTCATTGAAGTGAGAATTTGGGTTTCCTATTGGTTTTGACCCTGATGAGCTCAGCCTAAGCCCCCTTCTGCCTGGAATTCCCAAATGTTTATTCTCTAACCTAGCCAAATAGGACTTTGGCAGGGGTAGGCATATACCCTAGGGAGGACTGGAGCCAGTCCCCCATTTGGTCACAGGGTAGGTTGGAGGGAGCCAGGCCAGAAGCAAGCAAGTGGGGAAAAGAGAGTCCAGGCAATTGCCTGCAACAACACAGAAGCATTCACACATGCCTCCCCTCTGGCTGCTGGGTACAAGAAAGTGAGCATGTCGGGCTGCATACGGGGTGAGACTAGGCTGCCTTCTAAGACCAGGCTCCATGTCTCAGCAGAGTGGAGAAAGAGCTGTCTTCAGGTGGAAGCAGATGGAGGGACACTGGAGGGTATGGGGAGATAGTCCAGGACGGGACAGCTCATGGGGCAAAGCTGGGATGTGATTACATCACCTGCTGCACTGATCCTTTCTAACCCATTAGCCAGTTCATGGCAGGAAAATGGGGACCCCTCATGGGTGTCAGGCAGGGATGGTGGAAAAGATCCTGCACAATCTGTGTGGTCCTGACTGTTTATCACAATGGAGATGGGGAGGAAACTTCCCAGCAGGTCACAACTTAGAAAGGCAGAGGAGCCAGCTGTCCCTGAGCCCAGCCTCCCTCTGGGGACAGCACCCCGACAAGAGGCCAAAGTCAGTCCCTGAGTCCTGGCACTACACCCATTTCCCATGTCCCACCACATCCAGGCCTGTCTCTGAGCCTGCCCAGGCCAGAGATACACTTGTAGGGATTTAAATCTTTCCTGATCATTTTTATTTGTCAGCTTCACTAATTAAGCAGTGTTAATTTCATTTACTGAAAATGGAAATTCATCCACCTCATTTCTCCTCGTTCATCCTCCACACACAAAATCCATCATTCCTCAGCTAGAGGCTGCGTTAAATTTACAGGACTAATTATGTTGTCAGGTCTCTTTGTAAATACAGTCCATAAAGGCCACTGTGCTTGCCGGGTTGTAGTGCAAGGGCATTCCCGTTGTTAGTTTAATTACTGGTTAGTTATTTAGGTTCTCAAATGTTTGCCTCATTTTCTCTAAATCAAATTAAATGTCCCACTTGATGTATTCTGCCTCCAAGGCCTTGCTCTTATTTCCCACACTGTTTAAATATGACTTCTAATCAGATGAGAGTGCCTGGACAAGCCCAGCTGCCTGGGAGGCCGACCCCAGCCAAGCACCAGGGCCTCTGGGTATTGCTGGAGGTCTGCACTGATGCCCTTTCTTCAGGCAGCCTTGGGCCGCTCCCCTACCTTTGGAGGCTATAAAAATCCTAACCAAGGGGTATTTTTTCTGTTCCTGGAGTCCAAGGTGGCAGGGCTGGAATGTGGGAAACTGAAGGAGGGTTTCATTATTGCCATCAGAAGAGCTGGGGAGCACTGCATCCATCCTGCTGACTTCTAGAGGGACTGCTTCCAAACCATCCCAGGAAAAATACCACCTATGAGGCTTCTCTCTCTGATTCCTTGAAGTAGGGTTTAGGTCAACCTTCACTAAATGCTTACTACATTCATTTCCTATTGCTGCTGTAACAAATTACTTCAAACATAATGACTTAAAACAACAAAAATGTATCCTTACAGTTCTGGAGGCCAGAAGTCTAAAAATGGGTTTCACTGAGCAAAAATCTGGTGTCAGCAAGGCTTCCTTCCTTTTGGAGGCTCTATGGGACCATGCTTGCCTTTTCTAGCTTCTAGAGGCTGCCCAGACTCCACGGCTTGCGGCCCCTCATTCCCGCTAACAATTGCATCATTTTGACATCTCCTCGTGTTGTCACAGCTCCTCTGACTCTCCTCCCTCCCTCTTTCCCTTATAAGAAGCCCCATTATTACACTGAGTCCACCCAGGTAATTCAGCATAATCTTCTCATCTCAAGTTCTTAATCACATCTGCAAAATCCCTTTTGCTGTACAGTTAACATATTTATGAGTTCTGGGGATTAGGACATGGACATTTTTGTGGTGGGGGTGCATTTTTCTGCCTACTACAGCCCCCCTCCAAGTGCCTCTTGCATGACTTAATAAGGAAGTCAATAAACAGCTGCTGCCTTGGAGTCTACCCTGGGACCCATTTGGGATGCCACAGTAAGAAAGGAGGAGGCCTGCTGGCTTGATATCCTTGTCTCTGAAGCTTGGCACATACTTCCCTCTGACCACTGACCTAGCTTTAGCCTGATGCCCCAACATGCCTCACTTGCCCTCCCTCCTTCCTTCTTGCTTTTCCTCTATTATTCCTTCCCTTTTATCCAGCCACATATACTTACTGAAATCCTGTGGCCTAGAGAAATCTGGAATTCCTTCACTGACCCCAGATTTCAGAGTCTCTGCCTCTTTATACAATGGCGTGTGGGGTTGGGGCTCCTATCTGTGTCCCATCTGTGGACCCTCCAGTCCTGCTTTGAGGATCCAAGGAGTTTGTGAGATTTAGGACAAAATAACCCAGGGCCCTGTAAGCCTTGACCCTGATGGGGATTCTAGCCTTCACTGGGAACTGAGGCACTGTGGGTGACCTTGATGACAGTGTCCTCCTGCGACAGCTGATGACCCAGTTGGTGGCATCATACTGAGAATGCTGGAAGGCTGGGCAGTGATGTCACTAGTTTGCTGGTGACCTGGCTGGTAACATGATACTGGGAATGTTGGAGGGCTAAACAATGATATCACTAGGTCTTCTGGTAGCCTGAGCAATAATATCACACAGGGACCATTGGAGGTCTGAGTAATGATGTCATTCTGGGACTTTTAGAATTCAAAATGATACAGTGATGAGATTGTTGGAGGTTTGGGCTGTGATGTCACATTGGGTATACATAGAGAATGGAATAGTGAGGACTCGTGGGGTCACTGGCATCAGGCATGAGATCACAAAATAAGATGGAATAAGAGAGGAAGCCCCAGTTAAATGAGAGTTTTCTCTGCTTTCCTGGTGTGGTTTGGCAGACAGAGCCCTGAACTGGAATTTAGGAAACACATAGTCTAGCCATGTTTAGAAGCTGTGATCTTTATGTCAGGATGCCTCATTTAGTTGCGACTAACAGAGACTACTAGAGCCAGGTTAAGAAAGGGAGGCTTATTGTCAGGATGCATGTGGCCTGGGAATTAAGGCAGGATCTAAGGCCTTGGTGTGATTGCTTGCTCTCTGTGCCCCTCTCTCATGCACTCCATGCTTCTCTCTGCCAGAAGTTCCTTCTTATGCTCAACTGCCCTGTCCCTTACACGCTCTCTAGTCCAGATTCTGAAGGGACTGGATTGGCTTTGCCAGTCATTAGCACCCCATTACTCTGGTGCCCCTTTCCCCTCCTTTCTCCACCTCCATGTAAAGATCAGATAGGTGCCATTACCCTGAGTAGGGTAATTTCAGCTACAAACGGGATTCTGGCTGTGGCAAACACCCTGTAATGGGTCTGATACACCTGGGAACACCATTTCTCCCCTCTGGCCTCAGTTTACCGATCTGTAAAATTAGGGGGCCATAATTCCAGCTTCTAGGCCCAGTGGTTCTGTGAATAGGTTAGAGATGTCCTCACTACAGAGTTACTAAGCCAGCCTAGGGTTTCCTACCCTCTTTTCCTGATTTCACTGGTCACAAAGACTCTGTGCATACATGCAGGGATATGGGGTGTTGAAGTTTGTCTAGAAAATGTCAGTCATCATGGCTGTCCCCCAGGGGTCCTGTACCACAGTAAGGACAAGTATAAGGGTCATGCCCTCCTTTACCCTTCTGCAATAAGGAGAGCATCTGAGTCCTCTGCCGAGGCATCAGCCACCCACCTACCCACCTTTTTAATCACTCTTTTGCTCACCCACTCACACTCTGTCTTGCCCATCATCAAGGACAGACTGGACATCAAGGACATCGATAGCTCACCTCTGGCCTAGCAGCTGACACTTTGACTACCCAGCGAAGGCCTGGCCTCATTCAGCCACAGGGTCTGACTCTCTCAGCACACTAAAGGCTGCTAAGGGCAAGCCCATGTCTCCATGTAGAGTACTTCTGCTCCTTCCAGGGTCTGGCCTAGGAGGAGACCCAGATCAGGTGCTTAGGATTTGCATGAACAAAAGGAGCAACAAGTGACTGTTGGCACTGCCCAGTTCAAGTACTTTGTGACCTGTGTGGGAAAGACTCTCCTCAGCCAGCTGATCTCTCTCTTCAAGAGTCAGCCCTTAGGGCCCACCCTGGAGCCAGCTCCCCATCTCCATCTCAAGGCCAGCTCCCTAATGGTTCTGAGATATTGCCAGGCACAGGGTGATCTGACTTGGCTCCAGTGGATCTGAAAGCTCCCAGTTCCTCCTCTTTGTGAGAGGCTCACTTTCCCCAGAGCAGAAGCATTTTCCTTCCTGAACTCCCAATGGCTCAGGCTGGAGCCTAGAACCTTTCACTCCAGGAGCAGCCCCCTCCTTGCATGTAAGCTTCCCTTGTAAGTGCTCAGGTTCCCAACAGGAGTTCCAGAGCTGGGACGGAGCAGTGGCAATAAGGGAAGGTGGACTCCCTGTAGAGAGCTTAGCTGCCTTGGTGGGCATACCAGCTTGCATCAGCTCCAAACCTACGCACCTAAGACCAGCCTGGCTGCTGGCTGCTCCCGAGTCCTGCCTCCCAGTGAGCACCAGCTGATGTTTGCAGAATGCCTGAGGTGGGATACCTGGGACCTAATCATAGCTGAGCTCACGCCCAAAACCCACAGAGCCCAGCCCAGACTGTCCCTGAGCTCAGTCACCTACTCCCTTGAGTAAGGAGCAGCCTTAGAAATAAGACAGAGGGAATAACTCAGCAAAACTAGTCAAGTTGGGGCTGCTTTCCTCTCCTTCCCACACGTGGGCTCTACACCTTAATACTGGCCACTTTGTCAGGAGGGCCAGGCCTGCAGTTGCCAGAGGCAAAGGATGTAGTGCTGGATAGGGGCTCTCATCCTAGCTACAAGGCTGCCTTAGCATAGGGCCCCTTAGCATGGGGGGCTGCTCTAGACTTCTGCTTCTCTGGCTCTGGCTCTTCTGAGCTTTGGAAGGGTCCTGGGCAGGTGGCAGGAGAGCTGGACTTGAGGGCTGAAACTGTATTCTGTTCAGTGGCCACATTATCAGAATGGGCAGAAAGTGTACAGAAAATGAAAGAAAGAGCAGGAGGGCACTCTCCTGACATGGGTGGGCAGCGAGGAAGACCTCTTCTGAGTGGTCCACTATTGATCACCTAAAGCTGTGGGCAGGTCAGAAGGACAGCACAGTGGCCTATGGAAGCCTGACTGGCTGGTTTGGACTTCTTGATTCAGGGAGCATGCCAAGAGCTAGGGTTCAGGCTGTAACTGGGGACTGTGGGGCTAAAGGGTGTGGGAAGATGGCCACAGATGGCTGGCTCGAGGCTCATATAGGCAATTCCATGTTAGTCTGAACTGAACCCCTCTCCTTGACTGGGGGACAGGGACACATGGGCATTATCTAGGCATGTAAGGACAGCAACCTGCCCTTGGGCTGGGCTCTGAGGGTACTGCTCCTTCCCAAGCCCACATGGCAGGGGAGGGCACTGGGGTCTTCCCTGGAAGGGCAGCAGGACCCTCCCACTGCAGCAGTCCCTCTTTCTTGGGGCAGATGACTTCATGAAGCAAAGCTGGGGAATGCTGTTGCTCTACAGCATGAAGAACCCCAGCTTCCCTGAATACACCTTCAGCAGCGGGAGCGGCATCATGTGTCTTGACATGCATGTGGACCACCCCTACCTGGTGGTGGTGGGCCACTACGATGGCAACGTGGCCATTTACAACCTCAAGAAGGCCCAATCCCAGCCCTCCTTCCACAGCTCAGCCAAGTCTGGCAAGCACACGGATCCCGTATGGCAGGTCAGCCTCCAACCAGGGTGGGAGAAGTGGGTATGGGTGAATAATGTATGGGCCTGGGAGACACTGGAGGAGGGTCCTTGGGGAGGAGAGGGCCACAGACAAGAGGGTGGGAATGACAGGTACCAGCTTAGAGGCCAAGAAACTGGTGTGAGAAGAGACAGAGAAGGCAAGAAGATGATAATCAGGAGGTAATAGTGTCTGCAGGAAGAACTGGGTCTGCTTCCCCAGAGCTCCTATTGGGAGGGCCCTATCTGTTGTGAAGGATCTCTTAGATGACTCAGAGACTGTGGCTGGAAGCCACCAGGACCAGACAGGCCTCTGCTGAGTATGTTAAAGGCTCTAAGTCCATGTCTGTGGGCTTCCTCAACTCCCCACAGGGCTCTTCTCTGCCACCTGGGCTAGATTTGGGGGAACTACCAGACAGGGGTAGACAGCCCTTAGGTGGGCTATGAGGCTTGCTAGGCAAGGTCTGTCCCTTACCTGGATATTGGGGCTAGATCTCACCCTGATTCTGTCTCCCATCTTATTGCCTTGGGAGTGGATTCCATGTTTCACTTGCAGAGGGTCTCTTAGCTCTGGCTTTGCAGGCCTTTCCTCAGTGTGTTCCAAAGGTCCTCCTCCTCCCAAGACTGCATACCCTTACCCTACAGGCAGGTCTGGGAAAATATAAGGATGAATTTCTGTCTCAAGTCACCCAAGACCTCTGGGCTCTTCAGGAAGTGCTGTGACTGTCTTCTCATCTTCCTCTGCCCTGACAGTCTGCAGGCAGGCTCTGCACCTCTCCCTTTCTAGCCCTGAGCTCCCTGAGTCACTGGCTCTCAGCCCCCAGGCAGCCCTAAGTACAGAGAGGACTGTCCAGGCACAGGGGACATGGCTCTCTTTCAGCTTCATCCTTTGTCCAGAGCTGAGGCACAGAGAGCCACTAGGTACCCTCTCCCCTCCCCTGCTCTCCACCAGAGCAGGGGCCAGGGCCTGTGGCCTCAGGAGCTCTCTTCTCCAAAAGCCTACCTCCCAGTTCCTCACCTCCAGGCACAAGGAGGACTCCAGACAGGGGGAGGATATCTGTAGAGACTTTAAAGACCAGAGAGAGGAGGAAACACCCACTTTGATGAGACTGAACCAGATGGAATCAGGCAGCACCCTCCCTGACCCTGCTCTCCCCACTCAGACAGCCCAGGGCCAAGCACAGAGCATCTCTGGTTGGCCTGACCACCCTTCTAAATAAAGCCCAGTAGTGGGTGAGGGGGACCTTACTCCCAACCTGTTCTGTTCTCTGAATCAAATAGCAGGTTGGGGAAAGAAATGGACCATGCAGAAGACAAATTATGCCTTTCACTGGCTGGGTGCCAGGGGGACTGGAACCCACCTGGACAGGGGGACCTCTGCTCTCCCACCGTTCTGTCAGGAAAACAGGGATGCTACCTTTGCATAACCTAAGAATCAGAGGTCTTGGCTGGCATCATGGCTTGTGTCATGTCTCTCACTCATTTTCTGGCTTCCCGTTCCCCGTTCCCTTCTTTCCCTCTGAACCCTGCCCCCTTTCTCACTCATCCATCCATTCAGCCATTCAGTAACTCCTTCCTGTTTGCTCTCCAGCAGCTGTCTGTGCTTAAAGGCTTAGTCTCTGAAGCTCCTAGTGGGGACATAACCACAGCCACAGGTTGAACAGGACTGGGCTAATGGGGGCTCATGGGGGCACTGAGGAGGGGCACCCAGATTCTCTGGACCAGGTCTTCCTAGAAGAAGCACATCTGAGCTGAATTGTGAGGGGTGATAAAGTAGATGAAGAAGGGTACAAAGGGGTCACACATGCAGTGACACAGGAGCATCAAGCAGAATGGTCTTCTGGGAAATAAAATATCATTTGAAGCACAGTGTGAGCGACAGGGAGCAGAAAACAGGACCTGGGAAAACAGAAGCTCCCAGTCCTGAGTGTGCTTCTCTACCAAATGGGAAAGCTTGGGTTGTAGGTCAGGGTTTCAAATGAAGCATTAGTACAGAAGCCCAACAGGTTAAAGGTGACAGTGAGCTGCCCTGGTAGGATCAGAGTCCCCTTTTATAATGCACTTCCCTGTCCTCTGAGGTACTCGCACAAGGCTCTTAAGAGCTTCCCCCAGCATTGTTCAAAACCTGTTGCCCAACCATCAGAGGATTTGGGGAGAAAAGTAACACAGTCATGTTTGTGTCTTGAAGATGTCCTCTGGCTGAGCATGAGAAACCCTGAAGCCTAAGCTATGGCTGGGACAGTGGAGTTACAAATGAGCTGAGAGCTGTTGAGGCAGTAAAAGCAATAGGAAGAAACTAGAATGGATATGGAAAAGGGAAGAATTGGTGACACTGCCTGGGACTCTGGTTTGGGGTCCCCAGTGGTGTATCCACAGAGGCAGGAAATGGCAGAGAGGAACAGATTTGGCCAAAAGTGACTACAAGAAGCCAGAGGTGTCCTACAGGCAGTTGGCTGGATAAAGCCTGGAATTTAAAGAAAGCCAGGCTGGTGAGTGTGATGTCAAAGACCAGAGTCTAGGTCCTTGTTAAAGGGACAGTGTCTCAGATCAGAGAGGTTATTTTGTATCTCAGATGCCAGACTGGGGCAGAAGGACTGTGTTCTGTTTGCAGTGGAGAGCCGGGGAGAGAACTGTCTCTTAAAAGAGGACTAGTCCCATGGCACAGGCTATTTCCCAAGGGAGCCCATCTGGGTGCCCAGCCCTGTTCAAGCCCCACTGTGAAACCTCAACCAGCAGCACTTTGGCGGGGTGCGTGTGTATTCTGTGGGACGTACGCAGGGAAGGGAACAGGAAGAATATCTGAGACTGGGGTCAAGCAGGTCTGCCCTAATCAGATAAGGCAAAAGAAGAGGACTTAGTTAAGCAGACTCCATCTCCTTCCCTACCACCTGCTTCCTGGGCATTCATTCATTCTCTTAACACCAGTTACCACCTGTCCCCCACCCCTGCTTTATTCCTGCCCTCCCACCTCCACCCCAGGAGCACATGTGTGACTTGCACACGCACATACACACTCACTTGCAAATACACACACCATCCCCCATTAGGCATCAGGCTGCTAAGTGTGGTGTGAAATACAATTTCCATGCGTGCTGGCAGCTGTTCATTAAACACTTCCCTTTGCAGCTCCCTAGCGCCTCTTACAGTCTGGCCTTTGACCCCCTCTGTTCCCACCCTGCTTTAAAGGGACTACCTTTACACACAAGGGGAAGTGGTCTAAGAGTCAGGGCTGGCTCTGACTTGTGCCTCCCAGGCTCCATGGTCTTCTAGGACCCCAATGAAAGGAAAAAAGAACCAGCTGCCCAGATAAGCCCAGGCAGGACTGGGCCTGCCCTCCTATAGCTCTGATTACCCAGACCTGGTGGGGTGGTTGGGAGGGGTAATCTCCTCCCCACTCCACCACACCCCTTAACAGCCATGGTGACAGCTGTGGTTACTTACAGGCTGTGGCACTGGGTTCCTGGCCTCCCTCACTGGGCCTCTGCTTGCGATGGGGGAAGGGACGGAGGTCCCAGCATGGGAGGTCTGGAGTGAGCTGGAGAATGGGAAGCTCTGGGCACCCAGTCCCACCCCAGTTCTCCGGGATATGGGTTGGCCAGGCCTCCACATCTGGCAACAGAAACTTGAGCCTTAAGCATGTCATCTTCATAAGACAACAACTCTGTCTCCAAAACACTTTCCCATATGTTTGTTTCCAGCCCTGAGAAGATGGGGTGGGACAGGATTATTAACCCCGATTTGCAGTTGGAGAAATTCAGCTCAACTCTGAGATTTGGGAGCAAGATTCCGGGAGCAGGAGCTAGTGGTGAAGTGAAAGTGGCAACAGAGGAGGGCCTGACTAGAGAAAGGCCAAGCCTGGAAGAGGAGGGAGGGGAAGGGGCCTGCTCCCCCTGACCCCAGAAGCAAGCAGGAGAAAGCCCTCTGCAGAACCTTGGCACCCCAATTTCTAGGATGGTGGTAATAATGAGGATATTAGCTAACATTTTACTGAATACCTAATATTTGCAATGTTAGGACCTACAGGCCTTACATGCATTATCTCATTTATTCCTTACAACAAACTTGCACTATTATGGTTCATTTTACAAATGAGGAACTGGTTGAGGGGCCCTGTCTTTTCCAGTCCCTGTCTATGAAGGAAGCTGAACCCAGAGCTACCACCTTCTCACTACAACCAGGCTCACAGAATCCATCCCAGCAAAGAGTTGGGCACCTCCACTGACCAGCCAGGATTACGGCAGTGCCCTGATAGGCATGGCCACCCCAGGATGGTCAGGGAGAGAGGGTTGAGTGAGATAGAGGTAGATGGAAGGAGGGAGGGAGGCTAACTGTGGGACTCTGAGAAAAGGCTCCCAGAACTTGCTTCTGAACCTCAGATGGGTTCTCGAGAGACCCCTGCTCAGCACAAACTCAACACCTGGCAGGTTCACAAAGCTCACCGTTTGGGATATTTCAGGTCAAGTGGCAAAAGGACGACATGGACAACAACCTTAACTTCTTCTCTGTGTCATCTGATGGCAGGATTGTGTCTTGGACGCTTGTGAAGGTGCCTGTTTCCCAGAAAGGGTCATGCGCGGGTGGAGATGGGGAGTGGAAGGAGCTGAATGGCAAAGGAACCCCCAAAACCCTACTGATCCAGCCCAACCCATGTGCCTCCCCCATCCCTGTACTTGCAGAGTGAGCTGGTTCACATGGATGTCATTAAGCTCAAGGTGGAGGGCAGCACCTCGGAAGGTCTGGAGGGAATGCAGCTATACACAGTGGGTAGGACTTACATCCAGGCCTGGTCATGTCACTCAGGCCTTGTGAGGGTCAGTGACAGTGGCTGTCCCCCTTACTGAGCACTCCCTCCTCCACTCGGGCTGTAGCCTGGACAGAAGGTAATGGGAAAGCCTGGCCCTGTCTGCCCAGCCCTTGGCTGTTTGCAGACCCTCCATGTTTATGCAGGTCCCATCCTGTTTGTAGACCCTGTTCCTGTTTATGCAGATCAGGTGCAGTTATGCAGATCCAACCCTGTTTATGCAGATCAGGTCCCTGTTTACCCAGATCCTATCCCTGTTTACTCAATTCCTACCTTGTTTATGCATACTGTATCCCTGTTTGCACAGACCATGTCCCTGTTTGCAGATCCTGTCCCTGTTTACCTTGACCCTGACCCTGTTTAAATCAATCCCTGCCTTGTTTACCCAAACCCCATTCCTGTCTGCAGAGGCCCTGGCCGTTTACAGAGTTCCAACTGCCTAGGACACGCAGTAGGCCAGAGGACGGGTTTCTTTTTTCCATGGCTAGCCCTAGCCCTCAAAAGGGCCTGGGTTCAGGCTTTCCCAGGGGGGCCTCCTGGGTAGAGGAGGTATTGGGAGCCTTCCTCCCAGAATGGGTCTAAAGCTGTTCCCTCTTCTCCCAAGGGTGTGGCACCGCCTTTGACTTCCACAAAGTGATTGACTACATGTTCCTTGTGGGCACAGAGGAGGGGAAAATCTACAAGGTGAGGCAGTGCCTCCACTGTGTCAGCTCCTTACAGGGCCACTTAGACCTGAACAATCTGGGAGATCATCATTCTCATTCTCTACAGACCATATTCTGACAGATCTAGGGCTCAATAGTACTAGAAGGCTTCTTGGGGGAAGAGAATGCATTCTTGACCTGCTTGGGTATCAGGAAGAGGGGATGACTTCAGAAAAGGGGATGAACACTCTAGAGGGTGACTTTAGCCTAGCCTGGCTTCTTTCCCTCTGAGCTCTCCCTCCCTTCCTGGGAGTGGGCACTGGGAGAATTGGAACATTCTTGGAAGACTTCCTGGAGGAGATTTGAACTTAAGCTGAGCTTTGAAGCCCAGATTTAGAAAATTTATCTCTGAATACTGGGTGTGTCCCAGCCTGCAGGATGGAACTTCATGGCCAGTTTCTGCAAGGTCTCGGTGTTAGCAGGTGAACATCCTTCTGAGCTGCCATCCATCCAGAAATAGCTCTGCTACAAGTTTTCTTAGGCTCAAAGACTCAGAATGTTAATTACAGGCAGCTTCCCAGGAGCCCCTGAGGCCCAGCCAGAGCTGGTCTGAATGCAAAAGAGGTCCCTGTACCCCCTCCCAATGGTGGCAGGGGAGAGGCAGGAGGGAGAAGAGTAAGACAATCATCACACTGTCTTCTGGAAAGAGAGTGAGGGGCATGCTGTCAGGGCAAGAAACCAAATGGGAAATCATAAAATTAGGACTTGCTGCTGGCTCTGCACTTGCTCTTACCCGGGCAAAGTGGGCAATCCTGTTGGAAGGATTCTGTCTGTGGGCTATGGGTAGACCCAGGGTTCTGTCTGTTCACAGGCCTTGGCCTGGACACAGGCTGGCCATACCTTACCAAGGGCCCCCCAACCTGCTCTGCCTTAGCTCAGAGAGAAAAGGCCCTTTCTGCCCGGGCTGGAACACTCTGGGCAGACTAGAGCGCTTTCCCTCACCCTCCAGGAAAGCTCCCTGCCCACCCCAGCCTCCAGCCCCTTAAGCCCCTCCTTTCTCTCAGGTTGTGTTGAGGGTGAGAAAAGCAGCCAGCAACTTGCCCCCAGCTCAACTGTGACAGTGATGTGGGGTGAGGACAGAGGAGGGATCTCAGGTTCTGACCCTCCCAGGCCCCCAGGGAAGTGACAGCTGCTGGCCTTTCCCTCACTCCTGATCTCTGATCCCTCCCCCTAACCCCAGTGCTCTAAGTCCTACTCCAGCCAGTTCCTGGACACCTATGATGCCCACGACATGGCAGTGGATGCTGTGTCCTGGAACCCATACCACACCAAGGTCTTCATGTCCTGCAGCTCTGACTGGACAGTGAAAATCTGGGACCACACCATCAAGTGAGGGGCATACCTTCCCTCAGGCCCTATCCTGGGCTGGGCTCTCGCGTGTGAGCCCTGTGTCATGAGTTTTCCACCTCTGTGCCACTCCAGGACCCCAATGTTCATCTATGACTTAAATTCAGCCGTGGGCGATGTGGCCTGGGCACCATATTCTTCTACTGTGTTTGCAGCAGTTACCGCCAATGGGAAGGTGAGTGCCCCCTTCCTCACCCTGCTGACTCCCCTACTGGAGGTAAGATATCTCAGTGTTCCCTCCTAGAGAGCCCACCCTGTGCCCAGGTCAGGTATGGGAAGGGGGGACATATGGACTGTATATTCTCAAGGGCCAGGTCTCCCAGGGCCTGTCAGAAGAAGGGTCATTCATCCCATGAGGACCTGAAGAGAGAATGGAACTGTTCATCTTGAAGGAGAAAGCATTCTGGGTAATAAGATGCCATGAAGAGCGCTTATATTCTCTGTGGGCCCTGGGGAAAGAGCTACTGGGTGGCAGGGGCCAGCCTGATGTAAGGAAAAACTTACGAGCCAAAGGTGATCTGTGATTGAACTAGTGTCTGAAAGGTAGTGAGTTCCCCATCCCTGAGTCTGAGAAGGGGTGACGGGAGAGGTCTGTATTAATACTGAGAGTTGGTGAAAGCTAAGAAACATTTTGTGAGAAAATTTTCCTTACTTTGATATAAGAGGCACCAACCCAGGGAAGTAGTATAGTGATTATGGCCTCAACCCTAAAGTCAGTCAGTCATCTACTTGCTGAACAGGTGTTTACCAAGAGCCAACTATGGCGCCCAGCTCTAGGCCACACGGCCTGGCAACTCAGGTCCCTGCTCGCACAGAGTTCAAATTCTAGTGAAGGGAAAGAGACAAAAAGCAACAACAAAATCCCCATAGCATCAAGTGCTAGACAGAGATTAAAAGAGGATGATGTGTGAGAAGGCAAATAGTGAATCTGTGGCATCTTACTACACTGATGGACAGTGAGTGCATTGGGGTATGGTGGGGGAAGACTTGATAATATGGGTAAATGTAGTAACCACATTGTTTTTTCATGTGAAACCTTCGTAAGAGTATATATCAATAATACCTTAATAAAAAATTTAAAAGAAAAGAGGATGATGTACATACACCAATGTTCATAGCAGCATTATTCATAATAGCTAAAAAGCAGAAACAACCCAAATGTCCATCGACTAATGAATGGACAAACAAAATGTAGTATATCCAAAATGATTATTATTCAGCAATAATAAGGAATGAAGTATTGATACACGCTACAACATGGATGAGCCTTGAAAACTTGCTTAGTGTAAGAAGCCAGTTGCAAAAGAACATACATTGTATGATTCCATTTACATATGCCTAGAATAGGCAAACCTGTAGAGACAGAAAGTAGATTTGTGGTTGCCTAGGATGAAGGGGGAGGGGGTTGGGAGAAGATGAGGAATGACCACTAATGGATATACAAGGGTTCATTTTGGGGTATGAAATTTTCTACAATTGGTTGTGGTGACAGTTGCATCACTGTGAATATGCTAAAACCCAAGAATTGTATACCTTAAGTGGGTGAATTTTATAGTATGGGAATTGTATCTCAATAAAGCTGTAATAATTTTTTAAAAAGAGAGAAAGAGTGATGTAAAAGAGAAGGACTAGGTGGCTCACAGATAGTCAGGGAAAGATTCCTTGAAGAGGTGACAGGCAAGCTGGCAGCTGAATGACAAGGGGCCAGCCTTCTGAAGATGGTGGGAGGCATTCCAGATGAGGCAACAGCAAGCCTAAATGCCCTGAGGTAAGAATGAGCTTGAGGGGTTTAAGGAACAAGCAGGCAAGAGTTACTGGGATCTAGTAAGCAAAGGGGAGAGAGCATGAGATTAGAGTGCAGAGTGGAGAATCTAGAGTAAGAAATCTGGATTTTATGTATATGGTACCAAGGGAGACTATTGGAGGATTTTAGGTTTTTTAAAGGTAAGGTCTGGCTGCTCCATGGAGGACAGATTGATTGTAGAATGGCAGGAGCAAAAGTAGGGAGACAGGTTAGGACCCTGCTGCAGTTGTCCAGGCTAATGGTTGCTAATGGTTTGGACTTAGGGTATGGTAAAAATTAGTTCAAACATTGGTTGAGCACGAGCACTGAGCACCTTACATGTATCAACTGGTGTAAACCTGGCTCTGCCATTTATGAGCAAGTTAGCCTTAAGAGCCTCTATCTTCTCATTGATAAAGTGGGGACGATAACAGAACCTACCTTGCAGAGTAGCTGCTAACATGCTTGCCCAGCTTTCTAGTACACAGTAAGTGCTCAATAAATGGTAGGTGCTATTATTGTTAGTTTTGCATAGACTTAAATTTTCTCCTAAGCTTTTTATTCTCACTCCCTCAACCACAGGAAAAACAGAAACACAAATCCCTTCTCCCTCTGCCTCCTGCTCCAGTATGCTAGTTTCTGTCGTGTTTCCCCAGAAAGCCTAGGGACTGGTTATCATCCCTGAGTGGCTGACACCCATCTTTCCACAGACACATGTGTTTGACTTGTCCATCAACAAGTACGAAGCCATCTGCAACCAGCCTGTGGTGGCCAAAAAGAAAAACAAGATCACCCGTGTGCAGTTCAATCCTATCCACCCCATCATCATAGTGGGTGATGATCGTGGGCATGTCACCTGCCTCAAGCTGTCACCTAACCTGCGCAAGATGCCAAAGGTATGGGCTTGTGGAGTTAGGGCTGCTGGAAGAGATATTCTCCATAATGGTGGGCGCTGAGAGAAAAGAGGAGCTGGGGTTGGTTCTGGCTTGGGAAACCCAGGGTAAGGGTCGTGTCAATGCCCAAATGAGTTGCATAGGAGAAGTAGGTTTGTGGGGAGAAAGTATCAGTTTTCACATACAGAATCTGAGTTACCTGTGGGCCCCCCAGGCAGAGACATCCGGTGAACAGGCAATTATGTGGGTCCAAAGTCTGTGGGGAGCATGTGGGCATCATTGGCTTAATTGGTGGAGACCAGATTGCCCAATCAGGGGACTTGGGGCTTAGTCACTGCTTCATTGGCTGAGCTGACACAGGGCTTCAGCTCCAGTGGTCCCTGAGCTGGGAAAACAGAAAAGGAGGGTAAGTAGGTCAGCATTTAGGCAGTCCTCCTTCTGAGCTCTGGTTCCTTTCTGGGATCTATAATGATCTGGAGACTGTGCCCAGAGCTCAAGAGCCCCAAATACAGGCCATGGAGCCCAGAGCCATGACCTCAAAGTCTAGATCTCAGAGTCCTGATTCAAACTTAAGAACCCAGGCCTTAGAATCCAGAGCCCAAGAACCCAGTACCCAGTTCCTCACATTTTGGAGCTGTGAAAGGAAATGGAATTTGCTTTCTGCCAAGTTCTGGGCCAGGATCAGAGCTGGGCCAGGGCTGGGCGATGTTGCCCTGATAACTGTACCTCCAAACTGCGGTTTGGGGTATTTACTTACAGTTTGAGGCAATGGCAGGAGCCTGCCTCTTTCAGCTACTGACACCTACCAGGGCAGGGGCACCAAACCATCCCTCTGGTACTGGCCTGGTCCAGTCCCCACAACGACCAGGCTAGAGTTTGGCAGGGCCTGTAATTGTAGCCAGCTGGGGGAGGGGGTGGACTTGGCTATAAATACTCAGAGAGCTGCTAAGCTCCTGCAGCTGTGGCCCAGAGGCTGTGGTGGGCTGGGGGTGGGGTTAGGAGGGACCGGGTGGGGTACAGTGGGATGGGATGGGATGGGGGAGGAGGGTTGGGCTTAGTCTGAAGCTCTTTGCTGAGACCAACTAGTTGGCCTCAAGGAGGAGGAAGGAGGCAGCACCTTTTGTGAAACAGATTGAATCTGCTCTGAATTTAGTGAGAGAGACTCAGGCTTGAGCTGGCAAAGCTTGACACCCCAGTGGGAAGGATGATGGTCACCCCTTGGGGCAGGGAGTAAAGGTGGTAGATCTGGGTGGGGGCCTACCCTACTCATTCTGACAAGGGAGGCAAGGATCTTCCACAGTCCCAACGGCTCAAGGGCAAGGGTCGGTCATAGCTTGGGGGGGTTGAGCTCTGTACAACTGCGAACCTCTTATCTCTGAGGATCTTAGTAAGGGACATCTGGGGACTAGTGCTTGGGTAGATTGGAGGTTCCTGTGAAATTACCATTTGACGCTGTCAGAAGCCAAGTGATTCAGGCAAAAGGAAGTCCTGCTCTGAGCACTTCCACGGGCCGCGGTCTCCTGCCCTTTCTAGAGGGCTTGGCCACAGAGGCCCAACCTGGCTCAGGGAGCTTCCCATGATTTGGGTCAGAGATCAGCTTGTCAAAAGTCAATGAGTCTCTTTCCCTAATTGCTGTATAGATGGAAAACTGAAGGTCAGAAAGGGAAGGGACCTGCACACAGTCATGCAGGGAGTTAATGACAAAGCTGAAACTTAAAGTCAGGTCCTCTATCTCCCAGGGTATGGAGTGAAAGGAGAGAAAAAATATCTCTGCCCTCTGCCTCAAGAATGCAGAGGTGAGCTGTGTAGTGGCAAGGGCACTAGGACCCAAGGAGAGGAGGAGACAGATTTGGGAGTAGGTGCAGGCATCACACCAGGAGGAAATCCTGCATGCTGTCAGCAGCCAGGGTGAGGTCAGGAAGGGACCTGCTGGCCTGTACTACCCACTGCCTCACAGCCCATGCCAGATTCAGGCTGGGCCATCAGCAGGGAAGGCTGGGGCAGGTGCCAGTGAGCAGTGGGCACAGGTGGCTGAGAGAGTAGGGGCTCAGGAGCAGAGCAACACCCTCCCCTCCTCTGGCTATGTCTGACACAACAGGCCTGGATCCAGATGGCACCCCACTCCCAACCTGACCTGAAAGCATTAGGGAAGAGAACTAGGTGAGGGCACCTGTGGCTTTGTTCACACCCATCTGCCACTGACCTCTTAGCCCCCTGTCAGGACTCAGCCAGGGGCCTCCTGTGGAAAGGGTGGTCCCATCAGTCAGAGGCCCAATCTCTCTCTCCAGGGCTACAGCTCCCCCTGGATTGAAAGGCTAGCTCCTCTAAGGGTCAGTGGGTGTATACTTTATCCCACTCCTCCCAGTATTAAGACCCTGAACCTCAGGTTCAGAGCCACAGCTGAATGCTTCTTGCAGGCCTCAGCGGGACCCCTGTAACACCTAACCTGAGTTGGGGAAGGATGCTGTGGCAGTGGGGAGAGTCAGGAATTCAGAATCTACCTGGGCAGGGGAGGGGCGGGGCACAGCTAGGGCATGCTGGGCAGAGGAGACAATGCTGGGACCTAGAAACAGTTAGCCCATCCCTCACCATTCCTCCCCAATGTATACTTTGCCACTGCACAGGAGAAGAAGGGGCAGGAAGTGCAGAAGGGTCCAGCTGTGGAGATGGCAAAACTGGACAAACTGCTGAACCTGGTGAGGGAAGTGAAAACTAAGATCTGAGGGCCTGGCCTCAGTCCCTGTCCTATTTCTTGAACCCAGTACTTTTAGCCCCTGACTCTGGTACTCAAGCCCAGCCTTAGCACCCAGTATATGACCCCACACTTGTTCAGGTCCCAGCATCTTCCCTTAGCACCCTGTCCCAGCCCTGGTCCTAGCACCTCAGCCCAGGACTTGGACCTAAACCACCATCACCCCCTCCTACTTTCCATAAATAAACCTGTGTCTGGAAGCCCACCACACCACACCTTTAATTTTGCTACTGCAGGGCCCCCAGGAAGAGAAAATCTCAGGGTACAGCCATATAGTTCCATTTATTATCCAGCAAACAGCAGGAGGACCAGAGGAGGGGCCCAGCCTGGACACCCTCCCATTATTGCCACGGATTCCAGTTTGCTTTCCCAAACTTGAGGGCCTAGAGATGCTTGGCCCAGGGAGAGAGTGGACCCAGTCCCTGGCCCTTCAGATGGAGCAGAGTCCAGATGGCCCTGGCTCTAGCACCAACTCATGAACCCCCACCCCAGGCCTGCCTACCTAGGGCCACCAGAGCCCTTCTTGAAGCCAGGCTGGCTAGACTTGTGTGCTAGATCCAGCTCCAGACAGGCTGGACTCTGAGTTCTGGATCCCACACTGATTGGACCATGGGATCCTGATTCCAGACTCTGGGTGGGGTGGACTTAGGTTCCAGATTCCAAGCTAGGCCAGGGGACTTCAGGGCTGCAGCAGGTAGCTGCCTTCATGGCTGGGCTTCTGTGGCAGGGGCGCCTTCTCAGGACAGGGGCCAGGACTGGAATTGGGACTGGATTCAGAGAGGGAGTCAATGTCGGCAGAGCGGGAGTGGCAGGCCCAGCAGAGAATGACCCAGAGCAGCAGCAGCAAGAAGCCTACAAGGCCATTGCAGACGATGGCGATGAGAGCCCCCTGGGAGATGGCTGCCCCCATGACAGGCAGCACCGTCAGACCAGCACAGACTGCAGGGCTGCCTCAATGGCAAGGCCCATGCCGAGGTGGGACTCCAGTGTAGCTGGCCTTCCAAAGAGGCTGTCCTGTCCACACACTCAATGATTCCTGGGCAGTGGAGATGTCCCCCGCAGTCCTGAGCCTGTGGAGGGGGAGGGGGGTACAGAGCAAATGAAAGGGTGAGGAGGAAAGGGTGGGGTGAGGCCAAGGAGCAGAGGGGTAGAGAAGACAACTCCCTCCCTCATCCCTGGCCTCCCTGGCAGAGGACTTTAGGTCCCAGCAGGCCCAAATACATCCTCGGGTCTGGCTCTGGGCAGTGGATGGGGGTAAGTAGCCACAGTGGGGAAGCTGGAGTAACCTATATCTCATTCTCCTTAGAGACAGCCTGGCCCTGCCCACCAAGCTTCCAGCCCTCAAAAGCCCTGTGTGAGGGGGTGAGATTGAGGAAGCCAAAGCCTTAGGGGATGGGGGCTGTGGCCGCTTTAGTGTGGCCTGGGTGCCTCCCCCATCTCAGGACTCCAGCCAGCCAGCCCAGGAGGCCTCCGGAGGTGCCAGCTCACACAGAGGGAACTTTGTGGAGGCCCTGGCAGGCATGTGTGGGTCTGTGTATCCAAGACTGTGTACCTAGGTGTGCCTCTCTGTGGGACTGTCTCTCCAGGTCAGGAGTGTGTGTCTGGCTCTCACTCTGTCTTTCAGTTCCCTTGCCTAAATGTCCCCTTCTGCCTCTGTATACCCACCGCTATGTTCGGGGAGCTGTCTCTGTGTCTCCATCTCTGAACGTCTCAGTGTGTCTCTTGTGTGTCTCATTTTTCTCCCAGTCTATCTTTGTGTGTATCTCTGAGTCTCTGTGTGTCCTTTTCTCCCTCTCTCTGTGTGTATGGGTCTCTTGTGTCTCCCGGTCTTTTTTCTCAGCTATATGTCCCTCTGTCCCTGTGGACGTGTGTCTCTCCCCTTCTCTGTGTCTGTGTAGTTCCGTGCGTCTCAGGTGCCTCCGTCTTTGTGTCCGTCTTTCTCTGCGTCTCTGTGTGGGTCTCTGTCTCTTTATCTCCGTCTCTGGGTCTCTGATTCTCGGCACTCGTGCCCGTGGGGGGAGGGCCTCCTTACCTGAGTTGAGCCCGGTGCGCGCTCGCGGGAGGGTCCTGGGCAGCGGGATGCTGGGCGCCGACTGAGGCTCAGAAACCTGAGGGCGCGCTGTTGGGGGACAGGGTGGGGGCCAGCGGTGGGAGGCGGGTAGGGGCGACGTCCCCTCCCCTGGCCCTCCCCCTTGGCCGCGCAGCCTCCGCCGGCCGCTCCCGCCGCGGAGCGACCGGGGCGGCCTCTGCCGCGGGCGGTCTGCGACGAGCGGGTACCTCCTCCCCCTGGGGCGGCGCCTCCTCCGCGGCCGCCGCCGCTCGCTCGCTCGGCGGCGCTCGGGCGGCTGCTACGGGCCCGGCGCGGGATTCGGCTGGGCTCGGCTGCGTTCGGCTGAGTTCGGGTGCGCTTGGTTGAGCTCGGCTGGGCTCGGCTAGGCTCGGACAGGTTCGACCAGCAGCAAAAACAGCGAAGAGCCCCGCCTCCTGGGAGGCCGGAGGCCGGTGGCCGGTCGGGGGCGGAGTCGTCCCCGCGCCGCTGCCACCATTCAATTGGCTGACCGCGCTAGGCTCTCGTGCCATTGGTCGTGGCAGGGGTGGACTGCCTCGCCCCTTGTGCAGGCGGTGGAGGGGGGCGGCGGGAAGGCTGAAAGGGCTACCCTGCTTGATCGCTCCCGAGGGAGTGGGGCGGGGGCGGGGGCGAGGGCCCCATTCTTGCAGGGATTTCTAGCACCTTCCACACCTAGAAGAGCTTCACACTCAACCCCTGAGAAAGACCAAAGCCTCTGTACCCCCATTCCTAAGGAGACTGCCCCTTGGTATCTGAGAGAGGCCTCTGTCTCCGAAATTTGTAGGAAGGCTTCGGGCTCCCCACATCTGGTAGGAGACTGAACCTCCTCGTTTTGATGTAAGTCCCCCCTACCTCCGCACGTCCACTTTCACCTGGGTGTAGACCCGGCCCACTTCAGAGAATCTGTAGGTGGCTCCACATTCCCTAGCTCCAGGAGGTGTAAGCGGTTCTGCCAACACAAGCTCTTTGGACACATTTATTGAGTTCGTGTGCCAGATTTGTGCTTTGCTCTTCTATGGGGAAGTTTAAGACAGAAAGGAATGGGATACTCTGAGGGATGGCTCAGCCCTGGCTAGAATGGAATGACTCTCTCTCCATCCTAGAAGAGGCTGACTCTCTCTATCCTAGAAGCTCTCCTAAAAGGAAGATCAGCTTGGGCAGGAGCTGTCAGGTAGGCCTTCCTACCTAACCTCATATGCCAGTCACTTCTCAGTCTTTTGAACTGGACCCTTTCTTCATCCCACTCTGCATATTCCCCATGGATGAGCATATCCCTAAAGCTAAAGACTCAGTGATCCCAAATCCAGCATTAATTTGGATTAAGTGCCTATCAGAATCAAGGTGGTGTTGATTCCTCGTTCTGCCAGTTAACTTTGTGACCTTGGGCAAGTTACCTAACCTTTTTTTAGCCTCACCTTCCTCATCTGTAAAATGGTTTCAGTAATAGCTAAATCTAATCTCTCAGGGTTGTGAATCACTGATTTATACCAGACCAATCACATCTCAGCAAAATGCCATTTGACACAATCCCAAGGACCACATGGACCCTCCCTCCAATGCCATGAAATTCAGATAAGATCCCTATAAATCCAAATGTTATCCTGCAAATGAGAAAAAGAAGGGTAAAATAATCTGAAAAACAGAGTCATTCAAACGTACTGAATTACTTAGAGCCTGTCTAAAATAAAATTTTGGACTTCACTGAGTTTATCAAAATGAATTAAATTTTAGTTACCCTGCCCCTGTTGCCCGGCAGGGTGGGGGCATTGTGAGCAAGATCAAGTCCATTCTAGGAAACAGAGGAGACTGATATATTGCATATCTGAGTGTAATATGAATGAATTTCGGATCCAGCTGCAGTAGTTCAGATTTTATCCTGAAAACAATGGGGAGCACTGAAGAATTTTGAGCAGAGAAGTAAATGTAATCATATCCAGAAATGAAAAGGATGATTTGGGCTAATTGGTGGAAGGAGGGATTGAAGGCATTTGAGAGTGAAGATATGGAGTAATGACAAGGGACTAAAGTGATGTAGGGGAATAGGAGTAGAGAAAACAGGAAAGTATTAAGGATATTTGGGAGTTACAATTGGCAAGACTTAAAGCTACCTAGACCTACAGGATATGGTGGGTAACAGGGAGGGAAAAGTCTGGGATAACTCCCATGTTGGTAATTAAGGAGTTGCCCTTTACTGAGCTAGAGGACGTATGACAAGGAATGAGTTTCAGCAGGAGCCTCGAGTGGTGGGGATGATGAATTCTGTTTTGGATATGTTGTATTCGAGGTACCAATTGGGCACCCAAATTCAGATGTCCAATAGACAGTTGGATAAGCAGGTCTAAGGTTCAGAAAGAAGTCAGGCTGAAGATAACATTTTGTGAGTTATCAGCAAAGGAATAGTAATCAAACAATTAAAGTGGATGAGTTCACCCAGGAAGAAAAAGAACTGGTTTAAGCAGAAAGATACATTTATAGTCAGATGCTGAAGCCTAAAGACAGGGGAAGAAAACTGGAACTAGTGGACACAAAAGCCATTTTTTGTGAATGTTACCTCTCATCTCTATTACTTTCTGATTGTCTCCCTCATTTCCCTCCCCTGCCCTGTCCCAGTCCCTGTCATGCCCATCCCCAGATTGGCATAAAATGTTCTTCTGGTCCACAAGGTGAAAACACAATTTTGGACAATCCCACAGCTCAAAAGTTTATTGTCCAGGCATCCAAGAAGATACTGGTTTTTTTTCTTGGTTGCAGTTTGCAAATTCCTCAGGAACAATTACTGTTAGCCCATCTTAGTTAGATGCTTAACTCTGGACTAATCAACCATAGCCAAGGAATGGATGAGGATCAAATTGTCTAACGTGGTCGACGTGATAACCCCATGAACATTGGTGGTGGGGTAGTGGTTCCTAGGATAGGAGAGATCCTAAAAAAGCAGAATGACAGGTATTGAATATAGTCTATCTTTGCCCAACACACACACATCATTTTCCAATGTATGATTCCAAAATGCCCTTACCTGCATAATCCAACCATCTCACTCTACGTATGTCAATAAGTTCAATGAAGTTTTTAATAATAAGTTCATTACGGTTTTAAAT